TTTAAAGCCTCATTGGCACTTATTGGGGTGATCAATAGTTCAACTATATGAATCTAATCACTAAACATTACAAAACTTCAGTGAAATTCTGTTAGGAAGCTGGTTTGAGCCTATCAATCATCTGAAAATAAAAAAAGAGTTAGTTTGAGCCTGTTAGTGCTAGTCCTCGACATGTGATGTGTGCATTATCTGAGCAACACTTACTATTTTATAACAGCATGTGCAACTGCCACCTTTGTTTCCAGTATGTGTCCACTCAATCATTAAAGAGCTCATGATCTTGGAATCTTTTTATTGCTACCATTTGTATAGCAAGACACTGTGATTGATTGAAGTTGACATTGTCAATCAATTGGAAAGAGTGCATAGGTGTAATAAGAACTAGCGTGCATATTACACGATAACCAGTGCTAACACTTGTCTTGCTCCAAGGAAGTCCCTTTACCTCATGCTTCCTATGAGCACTCAAAATCTGTTACTGAAAACTCCTTCCACCATTGTACTTGACCGCTCTCAGTGGATGGGGTCTTTACTCTTTGCAACGTAAAATTAGTTGGTCATTGAGGAGCCCCTCCTTGGGGTGGACTAATACCAAGAGACCTCTTTCAGATAGATTCCCTGTGCATTGCTTTGCACGAGGATGAAGTCTGCTAAATTCACAGGCCCTGGCTTGGTTGTAAAATTACAACTACTCGTCATATTATGGCGAGACATAAATCTTACCCATGCATCATGAGTGATAGATTTTAAAAAGGGTCCTGCGCTGGAGTTATGGCCTTTCAAGGCCTTAAAACCCCAACATATTCATAGCTCTTAAATTCAGTGGGAGTAAAAGAGCGATATGACTCTATGATCGTAATACATCGGGACCAAGAGTCAGGAACCCTGAGAGTCATGAGGTCGATCTATGTGTGAAAGGCACCGAGAGGATTAAGGGTTACCTTTAGTCAAGGTTAGTTATAATTTTATGCTTCATGAGTATGAGATGGCCAGGGCATAACGTATATATGATTGATTGTGATATGAGCTCGACATTTTATTTTGTGTGTTTTAGTCCTGTATGAGAAGTCCGAGGCGCAGAGAGGACATAAGCTTAAATCCTTGACATAGTGACCTTCTCATGCATGTGCATGAATAGCTGCGAATGGCAAGCCGCTCTTCCAGACGATCTACTGTGAAGAGAAATGCACATGTGCCAAGAGAGGAACCCCTGCATCTATTTGAGTGCATGTCCTTCGGGGTGCACTTGTAATCAACTACAACTTAAGAATCCTAAGCAACACATTGGTTTAATTTTGATAAGCCAAGTATGAGCCCTTGATTAGTTTTGTGGGTCATGGGTATGTTGGGTCATACTGAGAAGGTGAATTTGGATTCCAGGTTTACCTAAGTGGAACGCTCTGATGCCTAATTTTATTTTCAAAAATGTGTTATTTTGATTAAATAAGCTTTGGTGAAGTTTTGGGAATTTTTGGAGATTTTTCTAAATTTTTATGAGCCCAAAATGGTAATTTCTAGAATCTTTTCCGAGAAATGACAAACAAGGACAGACATACAGAACCCACATGTGACATCCAAATGGTCAATGGGTGCCACATGGTTCTATGGGCTAGTCCACGTTAGCCCCACATGGAGGTGACGTTAACCCCTAATGGGAATCGTTGGTCATTTTTTAAATTGTGTAGGTATGCATTGTTTTATGGGAATTTTGGTGAATTTTGTGAAAAATAAAATTTGATTTTTGGCACGTTTTATGTGTAATATTTATGGCTGTATACATGTACAAAAGCTTCTAGAAAGGGCATAGGGTTTGATATGATGGTTGAATGTCATCCACGGGCTAAGTGGTTCTCTTGGCAAGCAATGCATAATCGGTTACCGATCACATCCATATTCCAACAACGAGGTATCCATATTGTTACCATCTTCCTTTTTTGCAGGAGCAATGACGACAACCTATGTCATCTTTGTTTCAATGCACGTTCTTCCAGGGTGTCTGGCAGTCCTTGGAGTGGCGATGTGGTAAGAGATTTGTGACTGGCTCATCGGCTCAGGATATTCTTCGCAGTTGGTTAGCCTTCAAGTTCAAATCAGCTGGGCTTCTCAACATCTGGATGGCTATTTTCTTCACTGCTATCAGGTTTCTTTGGGAGGAGCGAAATAGGAAAATATTTCGATTTAACGCAATGAGAAGAGAGCAGCTTGTCAATCAGGTTACTACTCATGTTAAGGCCCTAGCAGAAGTGAAAAATGGGTCTTTCACCTATCAGAAAAGGTGATTATTGGCAATCCACAAATTATTTGGCGCCAGTTGAAGCCAAAAGGTCAGATCCCAATCGCAAGGTCATTTCCTAAGGCTATGAGTTGTAAGTTGAATATTGATGGTGTGTCCTTGCACAATCTTGATTTGGCAGGAGGTAGCGGGGTCATAAGAAATAGCAATGGTGGTTTTGTGGCGCCGTTTGCTATAGACTTAGGGGTCACAATGAATAATTATGCAGAATTTAAGGCTTTAGAAGAAGGCATTCTTTTGGTTATTCAGACAGGTTGCTTCCCGATACAGATAGAAAGAGATTCATCTCTTCTAGTCAATTACATACAATAGTTGATAATTGCCATGTGAGGCTTTCACCCCATAGGTGATCTATTGCCCATATTTTTCGAGAGGTTAACATAGGAGCTGATGCCCTTGTTAAGAGAGCCTCGGTTTATTCAAGCACCACGATTTGACATAGTTGTCTGCCAGACTTTCTTTCCCTTCTTTATGAGAAAAGATTTTTCTTCCCCATCTTGAAATTCGATTTTTGAAAATAAAACCGTTTTTTGAAGTTCTTCTTTTTCTTCATCTTTTGTATTACTGGTGTTTCTAGTTTCAAAAGAGCTAGTCAATCCAGGAAAAATTGGTATCGAAAAATGTTTGAGACCAATTGGTTTTCTATTCAAAGATAATTCTTTTGGTTCAGAAAATCATGGTGTTGGACTATTAGGTACTGACTGACTCAAACTTTTGGTTGAAGTTCTTTGGTGTGAGAAGTACAAGTTTTTCCCAGATGCTTGGAAAGTTACAGGTTTCTAATCTTGGCTGTAATTTGCAGAAAAACTATCAACCAACCAATTTCTGGGAATTTCCAAATCCTTCCAGTTGATTAACCAGAGCTGGATTTCATTGTCGCTCTCATAATTATTCTCATGAACAATGAGGACTTTGGCTAAGATTTTATAGGAAGAGTTTAGAAGACTGATTGGGCGGAAATCCTTCATCCTATGGGCACCCTCTAATTTGGGAATCTGAGCTAGGAAGGTACATTTGTGAGCTGAATTTATTTTGCCCCTCAGGAAGAATTCTTCAAAGAAAGCTAGAAGGTCTGAAGCAGTTACATCCCAAAGGTTTTGAATAGGGCTATGGGGAACCCGTCTTGCCCAGGGGCTTTATCTTTGGGAAGGTCAAAGGTAGCTTTCCTTATCTCTTCCAAGGAGAATGGCCTCTCAAGATTGGCAGCAGCTTCAGGGGATATAACTTTGAAGGATAAATTGCCTAAACGGGGGTAAGGGAGGTTGGGTTTAGAAAAGAGGTTAGAGAAAAATCTAATGAAAAGACGACTGATGTGGTAAGGGTCGGTGAAGAGGTTGTTTTAAGGTTTGAGAGAGGTCAAATCTGGCTTGGGTTCTACCTTGACTTTCTAAGGGAGTTAGGGGTCTAGTTTCTTCCAATTGGTCCATGTCTGAGATTAAGGTTGAGTCAGCTCTTATCCGAGTTCTGAAATTTTAGGGGATATCCCTACTCCAAAGCTTGAGAGAAGCTTTTAGATTTTGGAGCTTACGAGTGAGCCTAAAGCCCTAAACCCTGCCCAACCGAAAACTTTTGTGGAGGACCAAACTAAGACGAACAAGGATGGAAAAGATGGTTCTTCAAACCAATGCAATTCGAACCTAAAAGGTTTATTGATGCAAGGAATGCGGTTGGTATCTAGGAGAATAGGTTTATGATCTGAGGTTACTTAGGGAGTACTCTGGAACTGATGCCAGGCATTTCTGCTTCCCACTGTTGGTTAATCAAAAACCTATCTAATTTTGACATAATTGGGGTTGAAGCATGGTTAGACCATGTAAAAGAGGCTCCTAAGAGGGGGATATCAATTAAAGGTATGCTCTCTATAAAGTCTGCTAAAGCTCTCATCGATGCATTGATACTCCCCCCATTTGATTTTTCATGTGGTCATCTCACAGTGTTAAAGTCGCCGGCCAATAGCCAAAGGATATTAAGTGGGGAGACAGTGAGGAAAGTTCCTGCCAGAGATTTGATGCCATAAACAAAGGAGGTAAAAAAGGGGAAGTTATCTGCTAGGCAGGAAAAGGATAAAGATACCGAGTATTCAAGGATTTGAATCGAGATACCTTGAAGAATGCCTGGGTTCCAAACAATCCATATACCCCCCGAGGAATCCTGTGAATCTTTGGCTTCCCAAGCACAGGGGTCTTGGCCCCGGATAGACTTTAATCAAAGACAAATCAGGGGACGTGAGCTTAGTCTCAAAAAGGGATAAAATAGTTGGGTTAACTGTACGGACTAGAGAAAGGAAAATGAAAAACTCATTTTTTCACCCATTAAAGATTAAAAAACCAAATAATACAGTCCTTTTATTATGAACCATTGAACCAAAAACCAAGTTGGTGAACAAACAGGACAAAAGTAAAGGGTCATATTTTTGGACGAAAGTAAATGGTCATACTATCATCGAAAAGGCAAAAAAGCACAGAATCACATTGAATTGGCTTGGGTTACAAAACAAACCACTAATCAAAGAGGAGTCACAACCAAGAATTGCCCAAGATGTTAGACATGACCACCTTATTCACAATTGCATGTTTTTAGAGCTTGACCCTCTCCATAGAATTCAAAACATTCATGAGAGCGACATTTCTAAAGGAACTGTTAGAAGTAGCAATGTCCTGCTGCAAAGAAAAGGAAAGGGCGGGGGGGGGGAACTAAAAAGACTGACCTACACCATTTCTTCTCCTCACTGTCAGCATAATCTTCAAGAACTGGTGTGTTGGGATGAATTCTCTTGCGTAAGTGGTCAACAATATCTACCAATGAAACAAGACAACTTTTAAAGGATCAAAGTGACCAAGACATTAACCCAGTTCCACAATTAAAGTGCTCTGAGATGCAAGTTTAATCTTGTCCAGCTCATTAGTCAATCCACCTCTAACACCTGAATTTCAGTCTTATAGAAACAAATAATCACACATACCTGATGAACCAACCAGTGGTTCACCGTCCACTGTCAAAATGGGAACTTTCTTGTAATCTGACCATTTGATCTGCTTTTTGCTAAGGGGATTGACTTCCACAACTTTGTATGCTATATCATGATAATCGAGAAAGGCTGAAAAGGAAAGCAAAGTTCACCACAAAAGTAAAAATATAGATCAATTAAACTTCGGGAGTCATGGATGATTTCAAGATAATACATGTGTGCGCGCACACGCATCGGTGCTTCTTTCTGCTGTCAAAACCCTTTTCATATATAGATAACAAACAATGAACAGTTTAAATGCAAATGAACTCATGACAAACAGATATCTCTGAGGTGAACTTGTATAAATATTAAAAATATCCGATACTCAGTGGACCCAGGCAGAAGATTCATGCGGACTCAGAACATTGACAAAACACCATAAAGATCTTTTGGCAACAAATAACTTAACATTAATGGTAAACAAGACAGCTAATTCATAAACCATAACATAACCACCTACGCATTCATAGAGGATATTCTGCACTTTCATTACCAAGAAAGATGCAGATCTTCATATGCAAACTTGGGGAATCTGGAAGGGCTGCAATTTTTCACAACAAGATCAGTACCTACTACCAAATGGGGTTTTGGCTGTACGGTGTGCAATTGAGAACAAAGAAGTGACAACCAAATCCGCCATTCCTAAATCCTCCTGCTGATATCAATTGAGACTGATTCAGCTGGTTTGGACTAGATTTTCAAATGGGAACTCAAAGAGTAAAAGCTAGCGTGTATACCAGTTTAACTAAACACAACATATTTTTTAAGTCACATCCATTTGTCTGAGTATAACTTCTACAGGTGAATGATAAATGGGTAATGACATTTGAGCCCCTAACACATAACAAATAAATTTTTTTTTTGAAGTTTACAAATAACTAATGATAAACATGCAATTTACAAAACAAGTACACGACCTATGGCACAACAGCATAAAACGCTTAATGCTTCTAGAATAGTCCCTCAAAAGCCAATTGAATAGGCTGGTTGATTCAAAGTAAATACCATAATTTCATAGATGTCTGTCGCTAGTGATTTTTGTGAAAATGCATGCAAGCCATGAAGTAAACCCATGAAGTAGTCACCACACTGTGATGAACAAATATCTTGAAAAAAGTCCTTTCCCTTGTATGAAATGATAATCAGCTCCTCTATAGTTAGTTCACGCATGAAATACTAGATTAGCCTCTCTAGTGCCATTTCTTTTAAAAGAATGTGATTCTCAAAAGCCGAGATCTCAAACCAGATAGCATAGTCATATGACCATACAGCAATACTAGCTGTCACAGGACCAATTTTCACTAGCATAACCGTGCGCCATTAACTCGTAAGTTTGGCAGCTTAGGAGGCCAAATTCAGCATTTCACTGACACAAAATACACAGACAAGAGAGAAAGAGTGGGACAAGGGTCAGGGCCCTATTTTATTCCACTTTACACTTACAAGTATACTAAACTAGATGTCCCTCAAGGTCAGACCCCAGATTGGTTACATAGTTTTTGAATTCAAACTCATGGGACACATAGCAATCAACCTTTTTATCTTGCAAGGCCTACTTGTGGCACCATTACACCCACTTCATGGTATGTAGTTGTTACAAAGCCCACTCGCTCTCTAGCCCAATCATAGTATCTAGCCACCAACTTACTTGAATTTGAACTTAAAATTGTTACAGTCCAGCCACCTGCCCAACAAAAGCGCATTCAATGTCGTTTCCTAGCCCATTCACGTGCATGCGCACACATGGGGGTGAGACCTAATCCTCACGCACACTGAATGGCACCAACCTCACCTCCCATCAAAGGTGGTCCAAGGCAGGAGGGTGCTCCCTCATAGGTTTTGTCCATCTCAAAAACTGGCACAAAGTAACTAGGGCTGGCAACAGGCCGAGCCTGGGCTGGGCTGGGCCGACCGCAGCCCTAGTAACCATAGGGCCAGCCAGGCCTAGCCTGGCCTTGACCGGGCCAAAGAGGCCCTCGGCCAATAAGGTTTGGGCCTAGCTAGGCCGAATAAAATCAAAAGAAAAAAAAAGGAAGAGGGTTGAATTGGGCTGGCCATGGCCCAGGCCCAGGCCCAGTCCATCCCTACCCTAGGGCAGTGATTGTGTGGCCTTGGCTAGCCCTCAAGCCACATTTTGTGGCCCAACTCCTAGTTGTTTAGGGCTAAGCTGATCGGGGCGGACCACACGGCCCATTGCCACCCTTAAAAGTAACACAAGTCAGTATAAGAGCTATCAATCATTTTGGATTTGTGTAAGGACCAACAATAATTTCTCCATTCATTAGGCCCATCATGGGAGGTTCGTTGAGAGAGCCATTACCGTCAACCACCAAGCACACACCTAGCTAGGGGTCTGACAAGCCTTCCCCACCAAGAGTTCCCAACATCCCTATTGGAGGCTTAACTAAGAACACTTGGATAAGACCTTCGTATTCCCACAAGGTTGCATCCTTTTCACAGCTAGCTTCTTCTCCTAGCACGCCCTTCCACTTAACCAAAAACTCAACTCTTCTATTCTTCTTGCTTTGACCCAATACTAGTTAAACCAAGATGGCTTAAACCTCACCCTCAAACTAAGTTTGCAAAATTGGAGGCGCCAAGGTTTGTTAACCTATTAAAGAGATCTAATGGAGATTGTAGCAAAATTGCGCCAAGTCTGGCAAATTGAATGTTTTTTGTTGGTTGGCTGCTACATAGCACCTAAACAGTCTTCCACGATAATGTTCAACTTCTCAGTTGAATCATCAATCTGATAATGGTTACTGTGAGAAGCTCAGTTTCAAGCCCATTAGCTTGAATAGGTGTCCCTAAAACTAGATCATGAATCAAGCATCTTAATCACTCACAATATCTTTTGCCACACCCAACAACTTCATTACATGGATGAGGAACAATTATGCTGCTATTTTTTGTTGTGCAACAGTCAACAGTCGCGATAAATGGGTTAGATTCGGTGCAGTATATAGAGAGCCTATCAAACACGATTATGATCTAATCATGCAATTGACTTTGGGCAACTCTCTTATGCAATCCATAGATAGGCTAACCTATGAACCCTCAAGTATGATTAGCTACTCTAATAGTCTGACTAGTATTTGCCGGTCTGTCCTGTTTTGCTAGCAAATAAAAGATGTCTCCACATAGTGCTCGACATCTTGCTCCATTTGGAGCCAGTAGAGCTAGGGCCTCTCTTTTGGTTGATTTGTAGCACAAGCACCATGGCACTCCCTCAAGAACTTGCAAAGCCCACTGATACATAAATAAGCCTTTCAATGGCAAAATCCACTCTCTAGACAAAATGGCTTGGTTTGTGCATCCTAGACTTGTTGCACCAGCTTCTTGATAATGGGATCACAATCGTGTTACAAGCAGATGTGTCCAACTAGGTTCCTTTCTATTTGTACCACTTCTACGACCACCATTGAATGCTTCAACTTGCATTTGAGGGCATTTGCGACTAAATTAACTCCCTTGCCTCATGCTCCAGGATGTAGCCAAACTCAACAAGGAATTCTTGCCATCTGACCTGCTTAAGGGTCAACTTCTTTTGCATGAAACACCTCATCGTCCTAGTATTTGTTAAAAGAACAATCTTAACTCCCAAGCAAACTGTGGCACCAAACACTTTAGAGCAAAACCGCTAGCAACTCGTTCTCAAGGATGAGTACCATTTCTATGTCTCACTGACCTTACAGCTATCAAACTCCACCGAATGACCATCTTAAATAAGTAGCGCTGCAATGATAGCTCAAGGCATCTGTCAGCACCTCAAAGGGTCAATCGAAGAAGGGGAGGTGCAACACCAGCATGTTGGTGATTGCACTCTTTAGATATTTTTCACAAGCTTGTGTCCAAACCCACTTGATATCCTTTTAGAGGGGATCCGTCAAGGCTACTATCTTCTTCAAGTACCCCACGATGTAGTAATTAGCTAGCCCCAAGAAGAAGCGTAGCTCGTGGATCCCCTTAGGTTGCTGCCAACCGAGGATGGCTCACACATTTTGGTCATCCTTCTCGATAGCATCTGCCTACCATGTCGTCAAGGAATATGATCTCTTCTTGGTTTTCCTTTATCTTTTTAGTACAAGCCTTTGATGTCAAATTTGGTCATTCAAGTTTTGCCTATATAAAGTGTCATCAAAACATACAACCAAGAAAGCATCAATATACATAAAGAACAAAACATATAAAAGACTGTTAAAGGTTGCCAAGGCATCCATGAGTCCAAATGGCATTACAAGGAACTCATATGATCCATACCGTGTCACACATGTTTTCTTTTCATTGTAATCACCAATGTGACCTTGCCAATATTCCAAGCGAAAGTACAAGCAAAGGGTAGGGTTCTTTACGGTCAACTTGTTAAATGTTTGGTAGTTTACAGCATTTACAACAAGCCATCATGCTCTTTTGAAACACAATTGGTGCACCGGAGGGTGACTCGGATGGCTAGATCATCCCCGCATCTAATAGCTCATCCAATTGCTTGCAAATGCAGTAGGAAGCTCTTGCAGAAGCTCTTGCTGATGGGCAACGAGCAGGTAATGTCTTAGGGAGCTATGTAGTCATGGAATTAACGTCTGGAACCAACAAGTCACCCCTTGACTCATTGGTAACTAAAGCCGCCAAGTGAAATCACCATGCTGCAGCCCTGCCTTCAGCTACACTGCAAACAACATTTGCCCTTCTCTTTGCAAATCATAGGGACCATGCAAGGGCACATCTCGTTTATTATAGCCACCACTCTAGATTTATTTGGAGAAACCCCAAATAGGTTTACTTGGAGATGATGAACAAAAGTCAGAAAGTACATTCTTGAGCAAGGCATAGCAATACGTCAATGTGGAACTCTCATGCACAGATACAAGTTTTATTGTCTGTGCACAACATGACTATGTCTTCCCATATGGACACTGATCCTGATAAGAGATACTGCTAGGATATAAAAAGACATAGCTACCAAAAATATCAAAATGAATACAATATAATATATGCATCATGATATGCTACATATATGTATTGATGGGTTTGATGCATATAACAGTATTAAATTTATATATGTGTCATTAATCAAACTGTATGCAAAGGCCAGTGCCGAGGAAAATAAAAGTGTAGGAATACAGAAGTACAAGGAATTCAAGCACCAACTACAACCACATACTTTACACAATTTTCATTCTCAGACATACCCCAATTCTCATTTTCGCATGTCGAAGTCTTTAAAACAAAGTTGTGAACAGAGCCAACAGACGAATCGCTTTCAAGATTTGAACAAAGGGAAGCAACTACAGGAAAGAAAAAGGAAACGAAAAAATGACAACAGGGTCTTCAGTAAAATTGGGTAGCAGAGATGATAAGAATTTACCTTTGACCTTGTTGCAGAAAGGGCAAGCCTCGTACTGATAGAGGACCACGTTATGGGGAACGAGCTCTGGCGAAGGGCGTTCCTTGGCCTCAGCATCATTCAAGAGAGAAAAAGCACCAGCAAAACCCAAGGAAAGGGCTCCTGCGAACAAAGGAGAGAATTTAAAGTGACTACTTGGGATTGGGCGTGGGCTAGAGAGAGAAGCGAAGTGAGAAGCACCAATGAGTCTGGAGGAAGGTCCTCCTCTTCCTCCTGCAAGTAGTCTAGGGAGCAGAAAAGATGAGGGCAACAATCCCTGAATCCTTGTCATATGCATAGCCATTCTCTAAACCACACGCGCTCTCTCGCTGGCGCCTACCTCTGTCTCTCTACATACCGAAAGGATCGCAGGAAGAGAGCAGCGTGTTGAACGCCTTCTCTGCTCTTTTCTCCTTTTTAACGCTTTTGCCCAATGGTTTAAAAAACGGATCCTTTTGAAAAACGGATCAGTCTTCTAAAAAACCGATCAGGATCGGCGATTCGGATAGGAAATCGGATGAATAGATCGGAATAAAGCTTCAAAAAAATCCGAAAAAAATATTAAAATTCATTATAAATATTGTTTTTTAGAAATTCAATAAGAAATGAGGGTACTCCATTAAGAATTTTCATGTTTTTGAATGAATATGCGAATATTGATATGTTCTTTTCCTGCATGAACCGTCATTCAGCATTTAATTTACATCACACAAAAAGATAAACATAGAATTATCATGGAATAAGTATATCAACATACATGGACTACAATAAAGCATAAAATTAGTAACATACGATCTAAAAATAAAATGATAGACGATGTTGTTGTTATTCTTGGTCACGCTGATGCCATTGATTGAATTCGTTTGACAATTCATTGATTCGATCTAAAAACGAATCATCGATATTAGCGGGCGTCTGACTATTCCCAAATCCCTGAGTGTTAGTATTTTGTTGTGTTCCCAATCCAAAATCCCCGAAGCTTGTTCATCCTTCATGCTCACCTGCACTGTCGTGCTCATCCCTACACTGTTGCTGTTGGAACTCGATATGTGAATAATATGGCTGGGATAGGGTGGCATCAGAATCATCATCTCTCTCATTTTCTCTTAGATTTTCAAAAAATTCGATCATGGATTACAAAAAAAAATTCGATCATGGATTAAAAAAAAAATCACAAATTTTCAAACAATTCAATCATGGATTACAAAAAATTCGATCATGGATTATAAAAAATTCGATCATGGATTACAAAAAATTCGATCATGGATTACATAAAATTCGATCATGGATTACATAAAATTCGATCATGAATTACAAAAAAAAAAAACATAAAAAACAAAAAATTCGATCGTGGATTACAAGAACAGAAAAAACAGTTCGATCATGGATTACAAAAAATTCAATCATGGGATACAAAAAAACAAAAAACAA